AGAAGAAGAAGAAGAAGAAGAAGAAGAAGAAGAAGAAGAAGAAGAAGGGGAGGAGGAGGAAGAAGAAGGAGGAGGAGGAGGTATTTGGTTAAGCTGCAGTTTGTGCAGCTCTGATCATTAAACTATGCTTGCAAAAACCATTGTGGCTCTGCCCCCTTGTGCTCTCAGAAAGAGCTAAGCAGAAAGCCAGCCAGGTGGTGCCAGGGGCAAAACACAGATAGGGAGAAACCCCCCCCCCCTCTCTGCATCAACGGTTCCACTCAAGACAGGGACCAGTTGCGACCCAATGTGGGAAATCCAAGGAGTCGAACATGGGTTAGCGAAATAAAGGGGGTGGGGAGAGAGAGAAATCGCCGGTGAGCGGCTGCGTCTGCGTGGACCTGTTGCTGTTTAAAATGGGGTCGGAACAAGGGCAGAGAGATGGCACAGGAAGAGCGGCGGGGGGGGGGGGAGGGGGGGGGGGGGGGGGGGGGGGGGGATCCAGGAAAGGAAGCCGGGCGGTGCGGAGAAGGAGAAGAAAGCCAGGGATCGAGCAGGAGAGCCAGAACACTCCGAGGGCTGGGAAGGACGAGTGGGGAGGAGGGGAGGGTCGCAGTTTGCTCCCCGTTGCTGCAGCAGCAGTAGCAGTTCTGGAGGAATCGGGCGGGGGAGGAGGAAGGGCGATTTCAGGTTGCGCTGGGAGGACCTCAGGATCGGGCGGGGCAGAGGGAGGGCGAAGGTGCCGGGGCGTGGAGGGGGGGAAAGGACCGCCCGGGCGGTGCCCAACGCTGGCGAGGCTGCGGGGGGGGGGGGGCGGGGGGGGGGGGGGGGGGGGGGCGGGCCGGAGCCTCTTCGGGAGCCCCCGGGATGTCACTCCTGCCTGCCCGCCTGCGATGCAAGCCACAACTCCGCGCGCTCCGCCGCGGCTGCAGCAGCGGACAAAACTTCAGCGGCCCGTCTGAGTTGCGGGATCGAGCGGGATCTTCCCCGGGCTGCCCGGCGGCCAAGCGAGGAGATCGGGCGGAGGAGAGTTCAGCCAGAGGCAGCCCAGCGCGCCGGCTCCGCGGCCTCCCGCCTTGACCTTGCCGCGTCTTGGCCGCGCGCCCTCCTCCTCGCCTGCCCGCCCAGACACGAGTCACCTGCCGCGCCGCACCGCCGGGACTAATTGGAGACGGACGGCCGAAGCAGGCAGCTGCGCATCGCATCGCCGGCTGGGCGTCGCCAGATGCAGGTAGGGGGCGCCCCCTCCGAGCAAGGCACCTCCAAGCGGGTGCCTGGCTCCCACGGCCGGGATCCTCGAGTGATCCGGGCGGCGGCGGCGGCTGGGGGTTGCGCCGCGGTTTCTGGAGCCAAACTTAGCCGAGATGAAACTTAAAAAAAAACAAAAAAACCCTCTGCCCTCATTCACACGTTGCGCTCTCATCCCGGGAATGCGACACGTGTTGGCGTCCTCCCGGGCTCTGCGGAGGAGGCAGGGCAGGAGCGGGAGAAGGGCTGCTCCGGGCTGGGGTTTATTCCGAATCTGGATCTGGATCTGCTTTCTTCGGCGCGCATCTCTCTGTAGGATCGCGCGAGTTGGGAGCGCCTTTCCGTTACGGGCGAGTTCCTGTAAGGAATGTCTATGGAGAGTCTCAGTCATTCAGGTCGCGGTTGTCCCAAAGGTGCTTTTTTCTTTTTCAAGAGGCAACTGGACTTTCTTCACAGCTGAAGAAGCTTCTTGGGTAAGAGGCGAAACGTCTTCAAAGAAAACCCAGAAAGTCCAGTTGCCTCTTGGAAAAAAAAAAGCACCTTTGGGGGCCCGCAAGGAACTGTTGCATGGGGGAGGAGGGAGGCAGGGGGGACTCGTTCCCGAAGCGGAAAACTTCCGTGTGTTTGCAAAGATCCCTCAGCTGTTCTCACTTTCGCTGGCGTGGCTAAACCTCTGCAGTCAGCTCCCCTGGAGTCCCTGGGAGGGGGCTGGGCCGGTGAGTTCGGCGCAGGGAAAGGGGCTGCTGGCAAGTCGGGCTTTTCGCAGTGCAGGAGGCAAAACCTGGGAATCCGGGAAGTGAAGTTCCCCTAACTGTCTTACTAGAGGAGGACCTTGGAAAAAAAACCAGCCTCAGCGCTCACCTAAAGCCATTTTAATGTACCTGCCTTGAGTTCTTTCAGTTTTTGTCTTTGAAAGGGATCCTGACAGGTATCCAGTGCAGGTGCAGGATTTGTCCAAAATTAGAGGCAGAGGAGCAAATATCATTTGCTGTCATTTACCCCTATCCCCAAGGTATCAAGAATCTGCAGCCAAACCATTTTCTGAAGAATTAATTAGTTCGCCCAACATATTGAAATAGGGCAATATTTTGAGTATAGACGGTTTGGTCCTTAGGTGCAAGATGACAATAAACTTTAGGTCCTTGTTTGGTTTCCTGATTGAAACCTGATTCCTTTTGTTTTAAATTTCGATGCACATTAGGGACTGGCAACCTAATGTTAAAACGAGGTGCATTGAGCATTGAGACGGCTGCTCCTATCTGCTGCTTGGGGGCTTCCCTTCTGCCTGGGTGATGGAAGTGGTCTCCAGCATTGAGACTCCTAAAGGGCAGTTTGCTCCGCTTGGCCTCTTTTCATTTTGGGTGGTCCTTCTTATCCCATTTTGGGTGAAGTCCAGAATTTCCAACAGGATGACTTGACAGATGAATAAAAGCAGCGCCGCAACCTTTGATACAGTGCAGCTGTTTTTGAATGGAA